TCTTTTGCCTGCTCAAACCTGCCTTTGACTCCCTCTAGTGAATTTTTCATTTCAGTTGTACTTTTCAGCTCCAGAATTTCTTTTTGGTTTCCTTTTAGGTTTTCCATCTCCTTATTGATATTTCCATTCTGTTCACACATCATCTCCTTGACTTTTGTCACATTTCCCTTTAGTTCTTTTAGCATTTTCACTTAAGTCTTTGTCTAGCAGATCTGCCATCAGGTCTTCTTCACACACAGTTTCCATTAATTCATTTCTTTTCATTTGCATGGGCCACACTTTCCTCTTTCCTTGTATGCCTTGTGATTATCTGTCGAACGCTGGACATTTGAACCGAATAATATGGTAACTCTGGAAATCAGATTCTCCTCCCTCCCCACGGTTTGCTGCTTTTTGTTATTTATTTTTGACTGTTGTAGGCTGTCACTGTGCCAGGGTCAGCCTGAGGTGTAGACTTAAGGTCTTCTCAGGTCTTTTCTGAGTCTTTCCCCAGGCATATGTTGTCACTCTTATTTTCCTTGAATATGCAGTTGTTGTTGTTTTTTTTTTTTAAAGATTTTTATTTTTTTCCTTTTTCTCCCCAAAGCCCCCCAGTACAGAGTTATATAGTCTTCGTTGTGGGTTCTTCTAGCTGTGGCATGTGGGACGCCGCCTCAGCGTGGTTTGGTGAGCAGTGCCATGTCCGCGCCCAGGATTCGAACCAACGAAACACTGGGTCGCCTGCAGCGGAGCGCGTGAACTTAACCACTCAGCCACGGGGCCAGCCCCTGCAGTTGTTTTTTAATAGTCTAGTCTTTCATGTCTGGCTTCCTAAAGAGGAAAAAGTGAAAAATGAAAGGAGGGAAAAGCATTCTGGCCATTTAAATCCCCTGGAAGTCACTTCAGCTGCAGGAGGCGGGTGCTTACAATAATGGCTGCCCATCTCTTTGTCTGTACCTCTGTGATCAGAAGCAGCAATCAGCACTCGGATCCCCAATATTTGGTGGACAGGGTCCTTTTTGCCTACCCTAGCTCTCAGAAGCTGTGTGTAAGCTGCTCCAGGAACACATGCACTGCTGCCTGGCAGGTGGCTGGGGGTGGGGGATGGGTAGCTGTCACGGTGCTAGGAGTTGAAATTGACTGAAATTAACCTTCCTGTCTTTCCCTGGAAGCAGCAATCCTTCCACAGACTCCAGAGTTTCAAAACAGTTACATCAGACAGATTCTGCCCTGCAATTGATGTCTAGGTGGAGAGACAGATTTCCACTGCTTCCTACTCTACCATCTTCCCAGAATCCTCTTCAGTCTTAAGCTTTTTGAATCCACATACTTCAGTTATGTTTAGTTCCTGTGGCCCAGTGGGGTCCCTTGCCAATTCCAGCACAAATTTCAATCAATTAGCTCCGGTGTCAGGAGACATTCAATACATTCTAGGGGTCAGCAAGGTTTTTCTGTAGGCAGCCAGGCAGTACACATTTCTGGGTGTGTGGGTCATATGGTCTGTGTCACAACTACTCAACTCTGTCACTGCTGCCTGAAAGCAGCCACAGTCAGGATGTAAACGAACAGAGTGACGCTGCATTCCAAGGAGACTTCATTTGTGGACGCTAAAATCTGAGTTTCATGTCATTTTCATGTGTCACAATATCCTTATTTTGATTTTTTCCAGTCATTCACAAATGTTAAAGCCCATCCTCAGCTTACAGGCCTTAACAAACACAGGTCACGGGCTGACTTGCCCATGGCCAAGGTTTGTTAACTTCTGATGTATTCAAAATACTTGGGGCTACATTAATGCTGAATAAACAAGCTTTTCAAACGCACAATAGAATGGTATAGTTACCTTTTTATAGCATTAATTAGGTGTAACAGTGGTAAAAACCTTTGGTTAGATATAATCAATACCACTACTTTTGCAAAGTCTTAGTGTAAGGATCCTATGAAGTGGAAGGGTTTTCAAAGTCACCAGAACGGCTGTGCTGCACTATCTAAACTCACCGAACATAATATAGTACTGGGATTTTCCATTCAGGTTCTTCTGATCTACGTCTGCAGGGAAAACCTTAATGTAGCCTCCTCCACAGTCCATCTTCTGCTCGTGTTTCACTGTGTACTGAATGACCAGAGTCTTCCCTTTATTGCTGAATGGTTTGAACCGTGCAGAGATGGCATAGAATCGGCCATTCTGAGTGGTCTGCAGACCTTTAAACAAAAAGAACTCATGAAGGATTAGGAAGGACGCTGCTGAGTGATGCACGGAATTAAATGGCTATCCTTTCCCCACCCCACTATAAACCTCCTAAGCATTTACAACCACCCAGAGCCTACAGCACATTTGAACAGTAAGAGACAACAGGCATACCACTAACAGACCCTCTGCCACCAGAGAGCTTCTACTTCACACACTCGGATGTTTTGTACTTAACGTGCCACTGTTACGTCTTAAGTTACACAAACATTTCAGCTCTAAATGGCAAATATGCAATCTAATTATGGATAAAAGGTTACTTTTGCTTCCATTCAGCTTCTAAGGTGTGGGAATATACAAGGAAGCTTGCGTAGCAACTAAGTTAAAAAAGGGAGCATTTTACTTCTTTTCCTTAATTCTCATCTTAAAACAGCTACTTAACAGATACAACAGCAGATAGAGGACAGAGTGCTGATGTGTAAAAAAGTGCTTTACTGCACTGGGTGAGCTGGCCCGTAGGTGTCATCCATGTGATGGCTCCTTTTATGAAGCTACCATCCTTTTGTCATGCAAATCATCTCATATTTGTTTTATAAGTTTAGGCGTTCACTTCAAGACCAAAATGCCCTTTCTCAGTAGCCATTAGGCTCTGTACCAAATCCTTATCCTGGAGTCTGCCAAACCTGAAAACAGAGCCATTCTTACCATAACATACCCTTCCTTGCTCCACACTCTGGCCCCCATACCTGCCTATGGTGAAAGCCATCATAAATGAACTTGGAATTTTCTATCAATATGACTAAGTCTGAACTCATAGCTGGCTTCCCACTACCACACGACTCTGTGTCCTCCATTATTGCCCCACCTTCCCTTTCTCAGGGGATTTATAGCCCCTTCCCCTCCCTTTCTCCCTACCAGCCAGGCAACTCCTAAGTCACTTGACTGACTGCCTCCCCTTGTGTCCTGCTACCCTCCTCACCACCCACATCCTCTCTCCCCACCTGCCATCTCTGCCTGACTAAATTCTACTTATCTTTCCATCCATGGCTTCTGTGTCAAGGTCCTGGGAGACCACAATGCAAGGGGTCAAATCAGCTGGAACCCCAGTGCCCTGCCTGTGTGTACTATCAGGAGACATGTGCTGGACTGAATGAATGCACAGAATCTCAGGATTCCAGATTGAAGGAAGGAGAAACATTGTGGGAAAAAACTCAAATGACTCTAAATGGAAACCCCTGTCCTTGAACAAGCTTCATGGAACAACCTGTTTATTTTCACTCCATTTTTCTCATATAGCCTGAATTTTGACCAACTCTTTGAGTCAGCACGTAACTTACAAAACAATATATATGCAATTGAAAACCAGAGGCTGCCAGACAGGGCAACAGTGGAGTAATGGGGCCAAGGCGGGTGGAGTGGAGGGTGGTGAGGAGTGAAACCTTTCATGAAAATCAGGGGCCGACAAACTTTTTCTGCAAGGCCAGAGAGTAAATATTTCAGACTCTGTGGGCCATCTAGTCTGTCCCAACTACTCGATTCTGCCTTTACAGCATGAAAGCAGCCATAGGCTATACCTAAATGAACGGGCATGGCTGTGTTCCACTGAAACTTCATCTATGGACACTGAAATATCATACATTTTGTTGAATTTCATATAATTTTTATGTGTCACAAAATACTATTTCCCTTTTGATTTTTTCCCCAACAATTAAAAATGTAATAACTATCCTCAGCTCCTTGGCTGTACAAAAACAGGCAGTGGACAAGCTGTAGTTTGTCCACCTTTGATCAACAAATAGAGGTTATCCTTGGAGCCAGGTTACCGACTTGCGCGAGGTGGGCACCAGGGAGGCTGATATGGGGGCTGAAAATGTCTCCTATCTTCACCTGGGTGTACAGTTGTAAAGATTCACTCCGTTGTACCCCGAAGATGCTTGCACGTGACAGCACGTAACTTTTACCTCGATTTTTTTTTTTAACGCAAAAATAAAAATGAGAAGTATGTTGGAATCCTTTTCCCCTGCAGAAAAAAGTCCCTCGGGTCCCAGAGCTTATCTGAATAGCGCCTATGAAGCGGGCGATCTTGGGCTGATAAACAGAGGAGAGAGAAAAACAGTAGCTCAAGCCCATTCCGGGCCTTAGCTTCCCCGCAGTGGACTCAGGCCAAGAGGCGTTGAGGGCGCGCCTCAGCGACCTGGGAAGGCGGGCAACCTTTACCTCCATCCTCTCACGATTCCTACACTAACCTTTGTCCTTCTCCTTATGACCGTAAAACTTTCCCGACGAGAGTCTAAAATGCCCCAGCTGGGAGTCGTTGGTGGACTGCACCCATCGGTTCCTCCAGCGCTCTGTGGGGGTAACAACACCAGTTAGGGCTGAACCTGTTACTTGGGCTCCTGGGGAGGGCGAGGGGCCCCTCGAGGCTTCGGAGCTTCGCCACCACCGACCCCGCGGCGACGGGCTGGGGCCAGTGGCGACTTAGGCCGTCCGTTAGGCAGCTGGGTTTGGGCCACCAGGGGCGTCGCCCCTTCACCTCCGTCTAGAAACTCCTCCTGGAAGTAGACGGTGGCCAGCGCCAGCCGCAGTACGCAGACCGCCCAGAGCGGAGCACCAGAGGCGGCCATCGCGGGTGCGAGGCGCTTCTTTGCGGATCCGCCCCTTTAGGATCCTGGCTGTCTCTCCGACGCTCCGGGCCCCAGCCCCCAGAACTACAACTCCCGTCACACCTCGCGATTATGACCTGAATCACCATTGGTCCCCGTCGCGCAGTGCACGCCGGGCCAGCCCCGGAACTACCACTCCCTTGACGCTCCGCGAATGTGACCTGGGGCACTATTGGTTCTTGTGGCGCGGGGTGCGTCGGGAGATGTAGTCTCTCCCGCCCTGGCGCGGTTGCCGGGGGCAACGGTCCCCTCTGGCCCAAGTGCCGGGCGTGAGCGGCGGCGGCCTCCGCGGATGGACAGAGTGGGAGGAGGTTGGCGGGGTCTGCAGGGTGGCGGCCGGGTTTTGCGACCAGGCTCCGGCGAGGAGGTGCGGGGAAACGGGGCGCACTCCGCAGCTGGGCTGGGAGGGCGGCGGGAGGGCGGCCACGAGCCTCACGCCTCAGTTTCCCCGCCTGAGGCCCACTCGGGAGCGTGGTCGGATGTAGGTCGCTCCAGGCCTGGGAGAAGAGCCCGACGGTCTGAGGGGCGCCAGTGCTTTCACAGTTTGATTTATTTATTTTTAACAACTTTATTGGGGATTCACTTACATATCATAGGATGCATTACCCGTTTTAATTGTACAAGTCCGTTATTTTTAGTAAATTTGTCAGGCGGCGCAACCATCACCACGATCCAGCTTTAAGACTTTTCCGTCACCCGGAGATCTCTCCTGCCCCTTTGCAGTCCATCCCCGCTCCCACCTCTGGCCCCAGGCAACCACTGATGTGCTTTCTGACTCTAGATTTGCTTTTCTGGGCAATTATTTTGAGCGGAATCGTGCGGTGTGTGGCGTTTTGCATCTGGTTACTTTCCCTTAATAGGAAGTTTGAGATGTATGCATGTTGTGTGTATTGGTTGTTCTCATCCATTCGTTAGTAGACATTTGGGTTGTTTCCATTTTTTGTCTTTGATGAATGATAACTGTTATGAACATTTGCATACCTTTCACTTATCTTGGGCCAGGTAGGAGTGGAATTTCTAGATCATAGACTACGTTTAACCTTTTGAGGAACTGCCGACTCTTTTCCAAATCAGCAGCTGCACCATTTTACCATTCCCCCCAACAGTGTATGAGGGTTCCACTTTCTTCCCCTCTTTGCCAGCGTTTGTTATTATCTGTCTTTTTGCTTATCGCCATCCTAGTGGTGTGAGCCGGCTCTCGTGGTGGTGGTTCCGATTTGCGTTTCCCTGGTAGCTAGTGACGCTGAACAACTTTTCATGTGCTTATTGGGCATTTGCATATATTTTGTGTGTGTATGAAATATCTGTTCACGTTTTTTGCCTCTTAGTTTATTTTTAATTGTGTGTTTCCTAAATATATCTATTTTAGTTGTGCTAAAATGTACATAGCATAAAATTTGCCATTTTAACCATTTTTCCATTGGTTTATTTTTAAACCTAGGGAAATTTTCAAAAGAACTAGATGCCAGAAAACCTGGCCTGCTGGTCAGACCTCCCCTCTGACCTGCAGAATAGCCTGGGCCGAGTCGTCTCCTGATTCTAGGCTTTGTTAAAATATTAACAGCAATACCTGTTACCCTTGTTCCAGCGATCTCTACTGCCCCTTCGCCACGTCCTTCCAGCTAAAAGTTAGCCTGTTACACAGGTAGTCCAAATACTACCATTGCCACTATCTAAATTTTACTGAGCTCTTATTCCAGACCCCATATTGAACTTAGGAACCCTCTGAGGGAAATCGTTGCTATTCCCTTTTTACAGATGAGCAGGCTGAGGCAGAGAGTGGCTAAGTAACTCTCCCAGGGGCACACGGATAAGGAATTCTGTGCTGCTGCTGTCAGGTGTGGTGCTCCATTCACTGACCGCTGTGGTCAGGTCTGTGCTGGGCACTCTCAGTACACAGGCTGGTTCAGATGGGGACAAGGAAGTAAGCACACTAGTCAGAGAAACAGCCAGGAAAATCATGAAAATAATTCATTCTTGTACAGAACCTTAGGGAGTGGGTTAAATGCATTTCCTTGCACAAAACCTTTGAGCTCAGCCTTGAAAGGTGCATTTAAGATATAGGGTTGCCACATTTAATGAATAAAAATATGGGACACCCAGTCGAATTTGGATTTTGGATAAACAAATAATTTTTTAGTATAAAAATATTTGGGTCATACTTATATTTTTAAAATTATTTGCTGTTTATGTGAAATTCAAATAACTGGGTGTCCTGTATTTAATTTGGCAGTCCCAATGAGATTGTTTTCCAAGTGGTCAGGGATGGGAAAAGAGGCTTTTCCAGGTCTCACTGTGAATTTCTTCTTTTTAATAAAGTAGCACATGGCCTTCCTAAGCGCTCCAGCAGTCTGGAGAGCAGGCATGCTCCGTGTCCTGTCTCTTCTGCCTCCGTGTTGTTAAGCTGGAAACGTTGCTGCCCACACAGAGCTCCCCGGTGTCTTTCAGACGGCCGCCTGGTTTTCGGCTGCCCGCGTGCAGTCCCCTGGGCTTCCCCGGGTCCCTGCGGGTGGGTTCAGGGTTTGACGAGTACAGACGGTGCTGCCACGGCGTGCCCTGAGCATGTCTCTGTGCGCGTCTGAGGGTGTAACTGTAGGGCCATTTCCGGACCGGGAATGACTGGGTCACAGGGTCCACGCATTTCAAATTTCATTGCTGTTGCTGAGTTCCTCACTACAAAACACCCACCATGCTGTATTTTCCATAGTTTTAAGTCTTTAAAATCTTTTGAAACCTTTGTAAATCTTGCGACGGGTCCTTCACATTCTTTCGGGGGCACATGGGAACTCTGAGAATATGAGGGAAGCTCTGGCCCTCCTCCCCAGGAAAACGTCCGCTGGTACACACACGCGACACGTGGCAGACGTACAGTGCCCCACTCCCCCCCGTCCAGGGCAGTGCTTCTCACACTTTAAGTGAAGTAAGACTTTCTGGGGAGTTCGATAAACATACAGATTGTATCTCAACAGCTCTTTGTGAGAGAGCTGAGGCTCCTTGGATAAAAGGGGAGCCTGGACTTGGGGTGTGATGGGGAAGTAGCACTCGCTGGGAGTGGTGGTGGGGTATCTGGCGGGGAGTGACGCACAGGTCCGGGGAGGGAGGTCTTAGGACCCAGACCTGAGCTTTGAACTTGCCTCTGCTGCTTACAGCCAGGTGACCTTGACCCGTGACCTAAGCTGTGGGACTTTATTTCCTCCACCTCCTCTATGAAAGGGAAAGCCAGTGAGTGACTCCCAGGGTGGCATGAGGATTGAATGAGATGATATGGCTCTGAGCAGGGTGGCGGGCACCCCGCTGGAGCCTGAGAGGTGCTGGCTCTTGTTCTTACTGTGCCGCGTCTCAGGAAGGCCTGCTGTTGAGTGGCGTCCTGTCAGTGGCACTGTGTGTCTAATCATCTTCACTGCCATCGTCGGGCTGGCAGGGCGATTCGATCTCTCCCGGGGTATGGGAGCCGCTGAGGGACTTGAGTGCACAATGTGAACATCAGGTTCTTCTCTAAGTTTTCTTTCTTTACTCCCTAGAATGGCTTCAACCAAAAAAATCAGCCATCCTGTGTGCGATGTCTTTGGTGATTTCAGTGATATTTCCTTGGAAGATTCAAAGATGGAAGAAATCAGAAACTTGAAAATCAGTAGAGGTCTTACCAAAATAGCACCTAGTCCTAGCAGATTTCTAAAAAGAAACCAAACTATGGGTGAGAAACACTTATTCCCAAAAGAGAATGCTGTCCTGGGGAGGGAGCCCGGGCCCTCCTCAGGTAGACCCCTGGCCGCTGCCTCGAAGCTCAGGGCCCACGCCGCGCTCACAAAGCTGGCCCAGCTCGAAACCTGGATCCTGAATCGGAAGGTGCAGATGGATGTGTCTGCCGTGGACTCTGACCCGGAGACCTCCGAAGGCCGTCCTACAGGGAGGGCGGACGAAGCGCCCCTCAGTGCCGCTGAACGTTCCTCACAGAACACAGACAGCACCCCCCGGACGCAAGCCCAAGGAGCTCCCACCGCCAGGGGTGCTGCGCCGAATGGGCAGGCCAGTCGCTTTCTAAAGAAGAGAGGCCCACCCGGGGAAAACACACCCCCTGGAGCACAGTTTGGGCAACAGAGGAGCTTTCAGACATCCAAAGTGAAAGAACCTGTTAGAAAATTGGATTCTCCAGACAGCGATGAAGAGGAAATGAGAGAGTTGCTGGGAAGCTTGATGGAATCTTCTAGAGAAAAAGAAACACACACAAATCAGGGTTTCACCAGCACCAAAGTCAGTGAGAAAGAACGAATAAAACTATTCCCGGTAAGGTTTGCACGTTTGTTTATTTTTAACGAAGGCTTTGCACTTGTGTCTTTCTGTTACGGCCCTGAGGCTGGAGAGCAGCTGTCGCCAGGAGCTTCTTGAGGAAACAGTGTGACAAGGAAAGGCTGGGTTTCAGTGGTCACCGGTGCCTACCGTGGACCTGCGCTGTGGGACCGCACTCGGGCACGCCAGACAGTTTGGCAGTATCTAACTCTGTACCCCACAGGACATCGCCTCAGATGGCTGATTGCACCCCAGCAGTGACCAGTGCCGCCTGCAGTCCACGCCCACCTGTCGTGTGTACCACACAGGCACCATTAACTTGGGGAGGCTACACTGGCATTTTCTTATTGAGATGAAATTCACATAAGCTAAAACTCACCATTTTAAAATCAATAGTTCAGGGGCATTTAGTACATTCACGATGTTGGACAACCACCTCCTCTATCTAGTTCCAGAACATTTCCATCACCCCAAAGGAGACCCTAGACTCATTCAAAATCACCCCCCGTACCCCTGCCCCCAGCCCATGACAACCACTAATCTGCCTTTTTTCCCTATGGATTTGCCTATTCTGGATATTTCATATAAGTGGGATCACAGAACATGTGACCTTTTGTGTCTGGCTTCTTTCCCTCAGTGTGGTGTTTTTGAGGTCCTCCACTTTGTAGTGTGTGTCGGGGCTTCTCGTGTTTATGGCTGAGTAACAGTCCAGTGTGTGGATGGACCAGATCTTCCTTAGGCATTCATTCACTCGTGGGTGTTTGAGTGGTCTCTCTCCCTTGGCTCTTGTGGATGGCGTTCCACAAACACGTGTCCAAGCGCCTGTTTGAGCCCCTGTTTTCAGTTATTGTGGGAAGGTACCTGGCAGTGGCATTGCTGGATCCTGTAGTATTCTGTGTGCCACTTACTGACGAGCCGCCGACTGCTTTCCATAGCGGCGGCACCGTTTTACATTCCCACCAATGGTGTGTGAGGGTTCCAGTGTCTCCACGTCCTCGCCCACACTTGTTATTTTTGGGTTTTTTTATTATAGTCATCCTAGTGGGTGTGAAGTGAGGGGAAGGCTTCATTTTAAGGGGGCAAAAATCTGCATATTCATTTTGATTCTGTTGAAGGTCCAGGCTATTACAGATCATGTACTCAGGGGCCTTAATTTAGAAAATTTATAATTAACAATCTATATTTGAAAGCAAAGTGATATTTCTGATTATTTGTGGAGTATTTCTAATCTCAATATTACCTTAGCTAAATGTTGTACCTTGACTTGCAGAAATGAGGGGAGAGGAGAGAAAGGGGCCCAAGGGGTCACTGTTTGTTCTCGTGCTCCTCTCTACCGTGATGTTGAATGAGGAGGCCTTGCTTATCACATGCTTGGTAATTGTATTTCTTTTATTTTCGCCAAAGTAGGATCAGATCCCAACTCAACTGAGAGTCCTTTCTCTACCCACTGAGGAACTTTCCAGCCCAAAGCCGTGGCAGACGTCACCTCTGCCAACCTCACAGTCAGCGGATGGGACCCTTTGCAGCATGCGCTCAGGAGCCCACTCCCCACAGACTCACAGTTCCGGTGACACGCACTTGCGCATGGCGTCACTTTCTGTCACCAGCACCTTTTTGAAGAAGGCGCCCATGGTGATGGGGCAGGGCGGGCGCATGTCCTTGCCTGGAAGCAGTGAGGCTGAGCCCTGGTGGGAGCCGCTCTCAGAAGCCTCTGATGCCAGCTTGGACGGTAACCTGTGCAGAGTCATTACCCGGGGCGGGGGGGTGGACCACCTTTATGGTCCCCACCATGGCGGTCACAGGGAATTGTTACAGGGAGTATGTGGCAAGCCACATCACACCTTCAGCTTCCTGACCTTGTGTCATGGTTGAGGGACCTTTCTTTAAAATCTTCACCCAGTAACTGACCAGTCACAGAGCAATAACCCGAGAAAGAAATCCTTCTAGAGCCACATACAACAGAAAGGCAACTCACTTTTCTATTTTGAAACAGAGATCTACCTCCTTTCCTTTTTAAATTCAGAAAAGGAAACAAATCTAACCAGCCACAATCAAACGTTTCTAGTATTTCAACATTGTTTTAATATTCTATGTATTTAAGAAAGAAAGAGGCCAGCCTGTCAGTCTCTCAGCCCCCACTGCTGGCGCCCAGCTCCTGGCTCCCTCACAAGGCAGCCTCGAGGGAGGGAGGGAGGCAGGCCACCAGGAGTGGTGAGTACAAGTCTGACTCTGGGGTCCTGCTTTCCTGGGGTGGGCATCCTGGCCCCGCCTCTTACTGGCTGTGGAATCTTGGGCTCTCTGTGCCTCAGTTTCCTCATCTGTAAAGTGGGGGCAGAGCCATGTCAGTGAGCGAGTGCCATGAAACGCCTCAGCGTGCCCTGCTTCCCAGGAAGCTCGTGAGGACTGGCGGATGTGATGACATGAGGGGCTTCCCCCACCAGCGCCAGCGCCAGCGCTTCCCAAAGTGCTGAGGCTACAGCTTTGGCCGGGCCTCTGCCCCAGGCCAGCTGGGATGGCTCGGGTCACAGGCTTTGTCCATGAATGCAGCTGGGGACCTGTCTGCACAGGAGTGGAGGCAACAGTCAGTGTGAGAGGAGCCCTGCCCTCCGCCCAGCTTGCTGCCGGCCGCTCACTCCTGCCCCCTCCAGAGATGCCCCCTCCCCCCGCGTGGCCCCCCTGAACTCCTCAGGCCCCCTGAGGTGTCTGCCACGCTCATCAGTGATGGATTAGGTACCCTAATCCATCCGTCTGTGAGGCCCTGCAGGGTGGAGGCATCCTGTGATGCACACACACGCGCACACTCGTGCCCTTCGGGGCGGGGGGGAACCGCAGAAGAGAGTTGCTGCCCATATCTGCCGCCCGTTGCCTTCCCCTCCCCAGAGGAGCGGGTTCATTTGTTGAGTGGCCAGAACCCTGTTGGAGCCCAGCACTCCACAGAGGGTTGCATACTCCCGAGTCTCCGGCCCCATGTATTCGGGCCGTGGCCACTGGCCAGAGGGCACACCAAGATGCTCGGGCCCCGCCGGCGCCTCTGCACTTAACTGGCTTCAAGTGAGAACTGAGGACGCTTCGGGTCCAGTCTTGCCCCTGCCTGAGGTGCCACCCCAGGCCCTGCAGCCTCCTCCTCATCTCCCCCAGCAGCCGGGTGCCCTCCGGCCGACCCCTGATACCTCTAGCACACTTGTTACCATGCTTCCTTCATTGCATTCATCTGCTCATCTGTCTAGACCAGTCAGGGGGCCCGGCGTGTGTTTCTGTGAAGTTTTATTGGTACACATCTGTGCCCGTTTGTCTACGTGTGGTCTGCAGCAGCTTCTGCACCCCAGGACAGAGCCGAGTCACTTGAGCAGAGGCAGTCTAGCCACAGAGCGGACGATATTTACTGTCCAAGCCTTCAGTGAAAGGCATGTGGACCTGGCCCTGCCCCCTGCAGATGGGCCATGTCCTCCTCTCCATCCCGAGCAGTTAGCCTGCTGCCCACAACGTGATGGTAGGTGTCTGGGGAGTAATAAGAGAAACGATTGTCATGTTACATTTTCAATTGCAGATTTTAGAATAAACGTTCTGTCCCTCGATGATCTGGCTCCAGCTGTCAGTGAGAGATCAGACTTGAAACAGAAGGTAAGTCCAACCAGCTTCTTTTTCATTGTGGGTTGTCACGTAGGCTCGCAAGCCTCAGGCTTCATTTAGGTCAGCGGTTCCTAACCTGGGGAGTCTGCCCCTGGGGACACTTGGCGAAGTCTGGAGACATTTTGGGTGGTCGTGACTGGGGTGGCAGCCAGCAGTGCTGCTCAGTGTCCTGCAGTGCACAGGACGGCCCCAGAGGTCAGAGTGCCATGGGCGAGAGACCCTGATTTAGGTGATGAGAGGAAAAAGTTACCTAACGTAGCAGACGATGAAGTCAGGTGTCACGTGGACCGCCTGTAACGACACCTGCTCTGACCTGTGCTCGGTCCATGTCCTGGTGGGATTCTGGCCATTAGTAACCAGTGCACATCAAACGTACATTGTAGTAATGCATTACAGTGACACTTCCGCGATTTCACCCTCGGGGCCCCTGCACACACTCACGCCGTCGGTGTTGAGGCAGCAGTCAAGCATGCTGCTTGTAGCACCAGGCTGCCCAAGTTCCCCGGAGGACCAGTGTGGCCCGGGCACCCTCACCTCATTCTAACACAATGGGATTTTGAGCATGTGGGTCGTTCGGAAACACTTTCCAGTTAGCTCAGCCTTCCTTCATTTTAGAAAGAAGGTCAGAGGGAAAAGGCACCCAGCGAAAGCCCCCAGGCAAGGGCGCCGCCCACTGGAAGCGAGGTCTCCGAGCACCTGAGCGAGCCCGCAGCCTCCTCTGCCCTGCCCAAGGGCACTGCCAGCCTGCGGCCCCCAGCTCAGCAACCCGCGGCTGGCCCAGCGAGCGCTGCTTATTCGGAAGATTTTGAAGGGTCTCCAAGTCCAACCACGTCTGAGCCGCCGGCCCATTCTGGGGAGGCCCCCGACAGGACGCTGGACACCTTGTCTGAATTCTCCGCCAGCCTGAACACCGACCTGCCCCCACCCGCGCCTGAGTCCCGGAGGAGGCGGCCCAGGGGCGGGCCGGGAGTCACGATGAGGGAGACGGCCGTGCAGACTCTCGGCCCGGCTGGCACCGACCCGTGGACGGAGGGTAAGCGTGTTGGCCCCAGGGCCCGGGGAGGGCATGCAGGCCGGGCTGCAGGACAGGCACCTAGGTGCACCCTGTGGGTGTCCTCGGAGGCATGACAAGGAACCCAGGCTGTGGTCATTAACTGGCTGAGGGACCTCAGCACCCTCGTTTTCTCTTCCATGGATGAAGACAGTTCCCACTGTCCTCTGAGCTCTACAACATTCCAAAAAGTTTCAGAATCAAAGACTCAGGCAGAGGTTCCCTCCCGGGTGGTTCTGCCCCCAGGAGACATCAGCGAGGTCTCGAGCCCATTTGGCTCTGACAGCTGGGCGACAGTCTGGCAGGTGGAGGCCAGGCCTGCGCTCAACACCCTGCAGCGCCCAGGACGGCCCCCACAGAGATGAGCCAGCCCAGAGCGTGGCGGTGCCCGGGGTGAGCCAGGGGACGCACTGCCAGAGGAACCACCTTCCGGGAGAGCGTGTCCTCAGGAGGCCCCAGTGCAGGCTCCACTTTAGTGGTCTGAACTTGGGGTGTTTTGGTGGATTCTCTTTGGTGCGGTGGGCACTTACTACCACTCTCAGTACAACTTTCCAGACATTTCTCTTGTCCCCAGCTCAGTCTTGGCCCTCTGGATGGAATGGTCCCTGTCTCTTGCTCCCTTTCTTGTCTGGACGACACCTGCAGTGTAGACAGACCTTGTTCCTGGACTGTGCGGGGCTGTAATTCTTGCTCCTATTTGGGGACTGAGCCACACAATAGCCCAGCCCTCAGACTGGGGTGGGGCAGGCCGCTCTCTCTGTCTCTCTTGGGGAGGAAAGCTAATCAGGCACGCTGGGTCCCATCCTGTGACTCAGAACCTCTGTGTCCCTCTCCACGGCCTCCTGCTGTTTTCCTGACAACACAGCAGCGGTGGGCAAATGTGCACGTTTCTGTCCATATCTTTTGCAATTTAAAGAGGTGCTTTTGTAAAATGTGGGCAATGCCATGTTCCTAGACTAGGCCTGACACTGAAGGGAGAGAGCAGAAAGGCAGCCTGGAGAAACCCGCTCGTTAGAGTCCAGGGGACATTCCAAAGCCCACAGGTGGCCCCATAGAAAGAAGGCAGAGGGAGGGGAGGGCACGAGGCCACGGTCACCAGCCCCTGTGAGCTGCAGTGACTGCTTTGGCCACCTCGACTGACTTGAATATTGAACCAGGAGAACCTACCAGAAAGGCAGAGGCAGGTTTGGGGAAATTTTTAAAGGGAACAAGGTTAAAAGAGCAAGAAAGATGGCCATCACGTTCAGAATTCCCGTAGCTTATTGCAGCGTCGTGTCTGTCGACGAGAAAGTCTCGCTCGGCATCCTAGCCACTCACCGCCCCCCTTGTCCTTGGGACAGCAGCTGGCATGGCGGCCATCCGACCAGCCCTGGGAGGCGCCTACGTGGACCCTGCGCCTATCGCCAGTCACGTCGTGAGTGCAGACGCCATAGAAGGTAACAGCCCAGCTCGGCGGGTCCTTGTGGTGCAGTAGGCACATTTTCCTTGTGACTTCCCGCTCGTCCTTGGAGGGGTGGCGCCCCATTAGTGCTGGGTTCTGGGAATCTGTTGGCGGGATCACAGCCATGGACAACTGCCACAGTTCCTAGGACCCTGGACGACAGAGTGTCCGAGAACCTTCAGTCTGTCTTAGGAGAGGCCAGCAGTATTGGACAGATCGGGAAGGTTCTGAGTGACACACCTGGAAGCCCTCCGGCCCAACAGGGCTGTCTGATTGTGTGTGTTCCCCCTTGAGCCTTTTTATCTAGAACCCATGGTGGTTTTCCCTGAAGACACGCAGCCAGGACTGAGCGGCGGCCAGCCGGGTGGACACGGCCCTGGCTTCCTTGAGAGTCTGGGGGAGTCTTGGGGCCCTAGGGAGGTGTAGCCTGGCCTGCGGCAGGAGGAAGGTGCCCGACAGCCACGTAGACTGTGCCAGGTCCCTGTGGGGACGCTGACGGCTTGCAGGACACAAGTGAGGGTCCATCTAGTACCTGCTTTATTTTCCTTTTTCAATTTTCTTAATATTTTTTAATAGACTAAGGAATTAAAATATACTGGTTACAACAAATGAAACGTTTACATGCTTTTAAGAAAAGATTTACTATTTTTTAATTTAATATTAACCTCCATGTTACCACATAGTCTCAGTAATACTCTTTTTTAAGTTGTTAAGTTTTTATTTTTAATTATATTTTTATTTAATTAAAAATTGTATTCCCAGGGGCCAGCCTGGTGGCATAACAGTTAGGTTTGCACATTTCACTTTGGTGGCCCAGGGTTCTCTGGTTCAGATCCTGGGCGCAGACCTACGCACCACTTGTCAAGCCATGCTGTGACAGGCGTCCTACATATAAAATGGAGGAAGATGGGCACAGATGTTATTAGCTCAGGGCCAGTCTTCCTCAGCAAAAATAAAAAATAAAAAATTAAAAAATTCTAATTATATTTTTAATTATTTTAATTATATATTTAAAATGCACAATATAAAATTTGCTCTCCTCCCTGGTTTTTTAAAAAATTTTTTTGGTGAGGAAGATTGGCCCTGAGCTAACATCTGTGCCAATCTTCCTCTATTTCGTATGTGGGATGCCGCCACAGCATGGCTTGATGAGCCGTGTGTAGGTCTGTGCCCGAGATCTGAACCCATGAACCCGGGGCCACTGAGGCAGAGCACATGAACTTAACCGATACGCCTCCAGGCTGGCGCCGCTTCCTCCCCGTTTTTAAGTTCAGTAGTGTTCACTGGATTCACTTTGTGCAGCTGCACAATTGGGTGCCACTTTACTAGACTCCTTTCTCTGTGTGGGCTGTTGAGGTTGACTTCCGTTTCTGCCTGGGAGCCGAGCCTCCTACCTGGGCAGCTCTGGAGGGTCACCCGTGAGTGAGTCAGAGGAAAGCAGTTCATTTCCTATAGAGACCAGACAGAATGCAATAGGCGAGGTCTCCACCACTTCCAAGGGCAGCCGCACTTCCCAAAAGTATCCTGACATAGCCGAGGGAGTGGGGGCTACAGAGCCCGGGGGCCCAGAGTGTCTGGCACTGGTGGGGTGAGGGTCCTGGTGGGGTCCCGGGGCCCGCCAAGTGACACAGTGCCGGGTGCAGCCCTGACAGCTTACAGCCCGGCCGTGTTTGCACTCCACGACCTGCTCAAGCAGCAGCTCAGCCTGACGCAGCAGTTCGTGGAGGCCAGCCGGCACCTGCACGGGTCCCTCCTGCAGTCCCTGGACCGAGACTCGTTCCACTACCACACCCTGGAGGAAACCAAAGAGGTGACGGCCGACCCGGGAGGGGGGCGGGGCTCAGGGCCAGGCCTCGGCCAGGGCAGCAGGGACATGGCGGCCCGGTCACCTTCGTCCTCGCAGAAGGAGCCTTGTTTCCTCCTCGTGCAGAGAAGAGGTGGTACGGCTGAGGGCACTGAGAGCCAGCCTGGCCAGGCAGAAGCTGGCTCAGCTTGTGTGACCTCAGACCAATGGTGGCCTCCTTGGTGAGGGTCTTGTCCCTTCACAGACCCTTCCCAAGTGCCATCCAGCAGGGGCTTCTCTCCTCAGTACAAGGGCCGAAACTTAAGGAATGTTACACTTCTCTTTTTCCCTCCAAAAATTTAATTTTTGTCTGATTACAAAAGATACGTTATTTTATAAAAATCTTGTTACAGAAATATGTAACTTAAGTCCTCCATAATTTCAGAGATAACTGTTACCAATCTTAATATATACTCTTTAGATTTTTATGTAAAATATGAACTGTATTATGTAGATGTACAAATATGTACATTATATACAATATTACATATTGTATATATTTATACAGTGTATAAAATATATATTACAATGTAATAGGTATAACGTGTAATAGTATTATGTATGTTTCTTTATAGAAATGGCATCATACTATATGAACTGTTCTGCTTGGTGATTTTTTTTTTCATTTTATCTACAAGTATTTCTAAAGAATAAGGACTTCTAAAAAATTCACGGACACCACCATTACCATACTAAGACCACATGCACTCTCCTGCATGTCCGTGCATATCCAGTGTGATTTCCACTTTTCGCATGAAACTTGTCCATTCTGTTCCGGTTTTCTCCTCAGGATCCAGACAAAGCCCGTCTGTACACGGATTGCTGGGTGGCTCTTTAGCCTCCTCCTGGGGCAGCGGTTCTCGGCCTGAGCGGCGTCAGACCTGCGGGGCCTGGGCCCACTGGGCTCTGTCGGCAGCAGGGTGTGCCTGGGAGCGGGTGTTTCTCCCATGGGCCCACTGGGGACCCACTTTGAGAACCACTGCGCTGCAGGTGTCCCCATCCCCATCTCTTTCTTGTTTCCTTGCAGTTTGCTGAAGAAAACAGGTTGTTTATCTGACAGTTTCCCCCATTCTGGACTTTGCTGGCTGCACCCCTGTGGGCTCCTTGTTCCCACTAGATGAACATCAGTTGATGGATGCTGGCTGAAGGGACCTGACCACGTCACCTGCCTACAGCCCACCAAGGCTCCCCACTGTCTGCTACGGGCCCACGTCCTGAGAGTGGCTCCCAGGCCCTCCTCCCGGACGGTGCACTCTAAGGGCACCCCTGGTAGCCCCGTCCACCAGCCCCACGTGATGGCAGCCACTCTTCCCTTTCGGACTCATCAGGGCTCACCCCTTGCAGGGCATCCTGCTGGGGCCTGCCGCATTCACCTCTCCTCTTCTGTTCCCACAGCATTGTCACCTGGCATCCTGTCATTTTACTTTTCTGTAGCCCAACTGGGAGCTGCTGGGGATGGGTGCCGTCTCCAGCACCCAAAGCCTCAGGAGACTGAGGCAGTGGTGGTGGTGACGTGTCTGTCTGTCCTCTGCCCCACAGTACATCAGGCGGCACAGGCCCGCCCCGCTGACCATGGAGGACGCTCTGGAGGAGGTGAGGAAGGAGCCGTGAGCACCAGCAGGTGAGGCTACACTCCTGGGTCTGATCTGGAGAGCTGGTTGGGTACACTGGCCGTGACACTCATGCATCAGTTTCCGGGTGACATTCAGTGGTGGGGCAGGTGGCACCCAGGACTCACTCAAGCAGAATCTCAGCTCCAGCCTTTTCTGGCTGAGCGACTGACCCTCCCAGTCCCTGTCCTGAGAGGACGCCCCACAGGCCAGGGGAAGTGGAGCGGAGGAGCACGCTCACAGCACAGGGCAGGACGGAGGAAGCCAGCCTGTCCAGAGCCCCACGGAGCGGCTCCACCTGGCCGAGTGCTGCCTTCCCTCTGAGCTGAGCTAGATAGGGGATGAGGACCCAGGGCCAGGTCCCCATGCTGGGAACTCTGTGTGAGACGCCAGGGCAGAGCTTCTGACCCAGCTCCATGACTCAATTCTGCGCTCAGGACACACTGCCTCCCTGCTCGGCCCAGCACACCTCTGACTTAAAGACACAGAGAAAAGGTCTTTAAAAAAAGTCTTTATTTGAAGGCAAAACAGTAAAATCCACAAGAAATTGTTAACAGCACGTGTTTACATTTATCCTGAATCCGACACATTTGAACAATTCACAGCTACAGGAAATCTAGAACAAAATCAAATATTTTATCACATCAGGTTGAAAAGTTGGAGAGGATTCTGCATCTTATTGAAAAGAATTTTTCAAAAATGTTTCTGTACAAATGGCACCGCACCAACTGCCCGAGGCTGCCCAGTGAGCACAGCCGGAGCCAGGGGCTCCTCCAGGCTTCACTGCCCCGGGGCGGGCGGGTGGCAGAGGAAAGGACGGAGCAGGCGGCAGGGCGGGCCCCCTGGAGCTGCCTGGGCCGCCGCACAGAGTGCTGGTGCTGGGGCTCCTCCTCGTGGAGACACCAGGGACCGATGCTCCAAGGATGGTGTTCCGTGACCTGAAGACGCCTCAGATCATTCTCCTCAGAGCCTTCTGTGTCTGCAGACACTAGCAAATGGCTAACATTCGAAAAAATACTCAAACATCTAGAAGAACCGCACTAAGGGCCAGTTTGTCTCAGAGGAATCAGCTTTCAAATGATCTCCCGAGGATCCTCTTAGATCACTATTCTTTTCTCTAAAACTAAACCATTTGGAGTAAAAATGAAAACCCTGTTTAACTTAGCAAATCAAAAAGATGCTCTTCCATCTTTAAAGAGTGAGGAGTATGAGCGCCTGCTGAGCATTCCCAGGCTGCGGCCGCAGCGAGGGAGCGGGCAGAGCCGGCGCCTCTGCCCCGGGCCCGCCAGCCTGCCCACTCCGGGCTTCGCCTCCACACTCTGCAGATCTGCCAGGGGATGCAACACATCTGTTCCTTCCGAGTCACGAATCTTATCCAGGGGGTGGAGCCTCGTGTTTCTCACTTCACTGTCACAGGAAACGCGCTTGTGGCCGTGCTGGCTGGGGCTTCTCCTTGTGTGAATCTTGCTGCTCTGGCAGAGCTGTGTGCAGGGGGCTGGGGCCTCCACGCTGGGGAGCACGGCACTGTCACTAAGCATGCTGCAGTTGTCTTCTCTTCTCTCACTCCCCCAAGATGGAGACTGTGTGAGGACCGAGCTGTCCCTACCAGCTTCCGCGCCAATAAGCCAGGAGGGTGCCGTGGCTGCCGGCCGGCTCCTGGCCTGGGCGCGCCTACTTGCACTCGTCCCTGGCCTTCATGCGGGCAATGAAGGAGTAGCTCTTGTTCCTGCGGTAGTTCTCATAGGGGTCGTCCAGGGCCACCCCCACGCCCTTGTACTGGTCCCACTTATCCCGGACATCCCCGCCCTTGATGGGGTCCTGGATCCCTTGTTCTTTCACGCCGAGGCCGCCAGATCCACTCCAGCCTTAAGAAGAAAGAGGGACAAGTGGTTACAAGCCACAAAGGAGGCCAAAATGGTGCATTTACTCTAACTTAAGTCACATGGGAATGCATCTGGGGAGCTGAACACCATGCAGACGTGCAGGTTACAAACGTGAAACTGCCATGGTAAGAAGAGCGCGCAGCACCCGCTGCAGGCTCGCCCTGCGTGGAGTCCGGCAGTGAGAGGAACTCCTCTGCCTCCATCGCTGCCCAACCCCCAAAGCCCAGAGCGGGCGCTGTCTTCCCAGGAACCTTACCCATTTTCACCAGCATCTGATGTCCTTTGTTCTCTTCCCCGAGCCTGGAGTCAGGTATAGGAGGTGCTGAATTAGAACCCAGACCAGCCGAGGAACTAAAATTAAGACAGGTTACGTCTTTTACAAAAGAGCAGACACATTTATTGGAATGAACGTTAGAGGATTACAGCGTGTAGCTTATGTGAATGTTCGCCAGTGGAAGATGGACAGGCACACACACATTTCGAGTCTCTACCGTTCTTCTTTATCCTCTTCGCCAGCCAGGGAAGGGGGCTCCCTAAGATGATGCCCCTGCCCACACTGAGCAGCAAGGGCAGGTCACACCGACCCCCTAAGATGGTTAGGAACACAGAGCCCAGCCCCCGCCTCAGGCTTTACAACGTGACTGTAAGAAGGTAAGAACGCAGTGTGAGACGAGGTGCCACTGTCACTGCGCTAGTGCTTGGGGTCCCTGAGGTGCTGCCCCAGCATGGGCCACCATGAGCATGTCGTCTAATGACACGTTTCAACATTCACAGCAAAGCATCAGAGGGCTCCAGCGCTACCAGTGGGTCATTCGACAGTTAAGACAGAAATCTTACGGCGGGGTGGGGCTCCTGGACCTCGACCGGCGTCTCCTCCCTGGGGAGTACGACTTGGAGCGGGAGCGGGAGCGAGAACGGGAGCGGCTTCTCGAGGAGCGTGATCGGCTGCGGCTCCTGCGGGGCAAGGGGAGAGCACGGCGGGGTGGCCTCAGGGGTGGCGGGGTGGCCACAGGCCTCGAATCCCCAAGGGGCAGTGCCCTGCCTACCTGGAGCGCGAGCGGGAGTAGGAGCGGGAGCAGGAGCGCGACCTTGACCGTGAGTAGGAGCCAGATGACTTGGAGGACCTCGAGTTGGAGCGGGAGGAAGAGCGCCCTCGGCTTTTGGATCTGCTCCGAGACCTCGAGGGTCCGCTGCAGGGAGAGGCCTGGTGAGCTGAGCCGAGAGGAGCCGCCCCCGCCCCCGCCCCGGGTTTCTGGGAGACCCCAGGTGTGCATGGCCCCGTGCAGACTCGCCATTCACACCAGGGTATGCGTCCCTAAATAGCTGGCTGAATACAGACTTGGCAAACTGCACGCTCATGCTGGTGCTTTAAGTTTTAACTCAGACCTTGTGGGAAGCAGCTCTGAGCGGCTCGCTCGCCTTTATCACACAGTGCCAGACCCAGGATCCAGGCAGAGGCCAGAACTGACCGCCCTTTGCCCTTTGGGGCGTGACTTGACAGTGTCTGGTCGGCAAAGGCAGGGACCCCCTTAGCTGATTCCTGAGCAGACACAGCCAGGGAGGGACGCTGACCTCCACCCGACGGTCGGGGAGGGGCCGGTGCAGCACGGGGCCCTCACCTGTTCCTCTTCTCCTGGCCTTTCCTCCGCCGGGCCCGCATCTTTGCTCGGAAGAACTCGTAAAGGCCGTTCTGCTCCCAGCCTTCGCTGTAAGACAGGCATTCCTCGAGTGACTACGTGTGCCTCCCTCTGGCAGGGACCTTGTGAAAAGGTGGTCAGGAACAGACCCCACCCGACAAGCCCTCCTGAGCATAGCCTGCCCCTCCTCGTTCACTCAGGCCCTGAGCACGGGCCCCCACAGAAAGCACGAGGCAGTCACCCATGGCGCTGCTCTTTCTCAGGCGAGGAAGCAGAGGCTGGGATGTGAGACTGGCTCCACCCGGCTTCCAGGCCTTTTCCACACTGCTGTTTTAGGAAATAGCTGAGGGTCTCAGGACCTGTGGGCCTGGTAGCTGGGGGCAAGGAGCTCTGACTCACAGATGGGCAGGCCTGTGGCTCGGCACCAGACAAGAGGCAATTTTAGCTGGATTGGTGGTGAGGGGTTTGGAGGAGGGTCTCCGGGGAGGGACCCGTGACCAAGCCTGGTGTGTCCAGCAGCCAGCTGCTTCGGAAACATGCCCTGTCTGAGATGAGTCCTTGTTCCGACGTGTCCCGACTAGGAAAGCCCTTCTTCAAGGGCCACTATATATGGGCAACACATGTCGGGAGAATGGAACTGGGGTTTCTCCCGGAGACCGCCGTGCTTCCTCACCTGAGCCCACACCACCCCGAGCAGAGGGCCTGGCTGTTAAGTCTTCCTCGTGAAGCAAACTTGGGGAAGACAGGCCGGGAGGAGGACAGAGGCCGGCCCTCCGTCAGTCAGCAGCCCACGGCCCAGCGCCCCTGCGCCCCGTACCTGTTCCTGGGCCTGTCGTGGGAAGGAGGGCTATAGAAGGCCTCCACGGCTGCCAGCAGCCTCTCACTGGGCGGCATGGGGGGCGGGAGGCGGATGTCTTTAGGGTCCAAAGGCTTGTACTCATGGTCTTCCAGCTGCAGCAGAGAGAACAGCTGTCACCCTTGCCTTGCGTGAACCCCCCTTGGGCCCACCCCGGGGGCTGCGGGCCTGGGGGGCACACAGGACCTTGGTTGGGGGTTGGAGGTTGGGTGTTAGAGCTCCTCACCCTGCCCTTGCTGGGAAATCCCACCCTCTCACAGAGCTCAGCCACACCGTGATTCGGTTCCTACACGGGGTGGTTGAGAGCTCCTTTGAGGCAGATAAAAGCCACAGAGTTCTCTCTCCAGAAAACGCACACGAAGACCTGGCCTCAAGCTTAGGTGACAGAAGGACCCCTTGGTTTATTCACAGACACTCAGGATCCCCGGTGCCCTGCCTGCAGACAGCTGCTCTATGTGCCCGACTCGACCCAGGGCCCCGTTATCTCCCCTGCTGGCCTCTCCCCTGGTCAGAGCAGCCTCAGCCCAACCCAGGAGGCCCCTTCTCCAGGAACCAGCTCACCCTGCCATGCCCCTACTCTACTCTACTGCCCACCCTGGAAGCAGCCCCGCTGGCCCCTCTGCCTCCGTGCTGCCCTGGTGTGACCCTTCTCAACTTCCAGTCTGATGGTGTCCCAGAGGGGACGGGAAGTGGCAGTGACCAGCAGGGCTGGCATGGCCCCCAGAGACCAGGCCCACTCTCTTCTCATCTCATCTCTGGGGCAGCTCCCGCCCCCCCAAGCCTCGCTCACCCAGCTGTGCAGATGCTGTGTAGAGACCCCTGCCTCCCCTGCAGGCGCGGCTCAGAGGCTGCCCCTTCTGAGAGGCCCCTCCACTGTCAGCCCCTGGACAGGGTGGCTTCCAAGGGCCAGCACCCAGAAGACCCCCACCTCACGCAGAGCCTGACAGCTCCTCAGGCTATAGAACTTGCAGCACCAGGAGGGAGGGATGGGGGAGCAGAGGGGATGTGGCCCTGGCTCACTGCCGCCTCAGAGACGGCGCCTGCGGGGAGGCTGGCTCAGGCGCCTCCTCCCTGGCTAGCTGGCCAAGGTCACTGCAGAGTGGGAGACGAGGGGAAGTGGCATTCCACAGCTGCTGGAAACAGGTTCTCCCCATGAGCCTCTCCTGCAGAGACGGAGGGG